ATAATTCTACTTTTACTACTTTTTTTGTCAGGGACAAGTGGATCATTAGCTGGAGAGACAGGGACAACTAGACCATCACCTGAAGTAACAGGGAATTATGGACAATCATCTAGAGCGACTGGGACAACTAGTTTATCATCTAAAGTGTCAGGGACAATGGGACCACCAGATGTAGGTTCACGAACAACTGGACAATCATCTGGAGAGACAGGGACTACTGGGCCATCAACTGAAGAATCAAGAACAACAAGACCATCTGTTACAGGGTCAGGAACAATTGGACCATCTATTGTAGCATCAGGGACAACTGGATCATCATTTGGAGAATCAGGGACAACTAGACTATTAGGGGAAGGATCAACAACAATAGAACCATTATCTCCAGGAACAGGTATAACTAGATCATTAACTGAGAAAGCAGGAACAACTGGACAATTATTTGGAGTGACAGGGACTACTGAACCATCAACTGAAGGATTAGGAACAACAAGACCATCTATTATAGGTTCAGGAACAACGAGGCCATCTGTTGTAGGAACAGGAACATTTGGACAATCAGTTGGAGGATCAGAGACAACTAGACCATCAGCTGCAGTAACAGGGACAAATGGACCATCATCTGGAGTGACAGGTTCAATTGGGCCATCTGTTGGAGTGACAGGGACAACTGGAGTCTCACCTGGAATGACAAGGGTGACGGGACTCTCAGATATAGTGACAGGGACGACTATATCATCTGCTGGAGTGAAAAGTTCAACTGGACTCACAGCTGGACTGACAGGTTCAACTGGACCATTTTCTGGAGTGACAGGTTCAAGTGGTCCATCAGATGCAGTGACAGAGATAACTGGTCCATCAGCTGGAGTGACAGGAAAAACTGGACTCTCAGCTGGAGTAACAGGGACAACTGGACAGTCAGTTAAAGTGGTAGGGACCAGTGGACCATCTACTAGTGTGACAGGTTCAAGTAGATCATCAGCTGGAGTGACAGAGATAACTGGTCCATCAGCTGGAGTGACAGGGACAACTGGACAATCAGTTAAAGTGACAGGGACAACTGTATCATCTGCTGGAGTGAAAAGTTCAACTGGACTCTCAGCTGGAGAGACAAGTTCAACTGGACCAATTTCTGGAGTGACAGGTTCAAGTAGACCATCAGCTGCAGTGACAGAAATAACTGGTCCATCAGCTGGAGTGACAGGAAAAACTGGATTCTCAGCAGGAGTAAGAGGGACAACTGGACCATCAGCTGCAGTGACAGGGACAACTGGACCATCAGCTGCTGTGACAGGTACAACTGGACCATCCATTAGATTGACAGGGAGTGCTGGACCACCATCTGGAGTGACAGAGAAATCTGGGCCGTCTTCTGGAGGATCGGGGACAACTGTTTCATCTACTGGAGTGACAGGTTCAAATGGACCATCAGCTGGAGTAACTAGAATATCAGTGACAGGGACAACTGGTCCATCAGCTGGAGTGACAGGGACAACTGTACTCTCAGCTGGAGTGACAGTGACAACTGGACAATCAGTTAAAGTGACAAGGACCAGTGGACCATCTTCTGTAGTGACTGGTTCAATTGCACCACCATCTGGTAGTACAGAGATACCTGGGCCATCATCTGGAAACTCAGGAATAACTGGACCATCCACTGAAGTCACAGGTTCAATCAGATACTCATCTGGAGTGACAGGTTCAACTGGACCATCAGCTGCTGTTACAGGTTCAACTGGACCATCAGCTACAGTAACAGGCACAACTGGACCATCCACTGGATTGACAGGGAGTGCAGGACCACCATCTGGAGTGACAGAGATATCTAGGCCATCTTCTGGAGGATCAGGGACCACTGTTTCATCTGCTGGAGTGACAGGTTCAACTGGACTATCAGCTGGAGTAACTGGACTATCAGGTAGAGAGACAGGGACAACTGGTCCATCAGCTGGAGTGACAGGGACAACTGTACTCTCAACTGGAGTGACAGTGACAACTAGACAATCAGTTAAAGTTACAGAGACCAGTGGACCATCTTCTGCAGTGACAGGTTCAATTGTACCACCATCTGGTGGTACAGAGATACCTGGGCCATCATCTGGAAACTCAGGAACAACTGGACCATCCACTGAAGTCACAGGTTCAACCAGACACTCATCTGGAGTGACAGGTTCAACTGAACCATCAGCTACAGTGACAGGCACAACTGGACCATCCATTAGATTGACAGGGAGTGCTGGACCACCATCTGGAGTGACAGAGATATCTGGGCCATCTTCTGGAGGATCAGGGACCACTGTTTCATCTGCTGGAGTGACAGGTTCAACTGGACCATCAGCTAGAATAACTGGACTATCAGTGACAGGGACAACTGGGGCATCAGCTGGAGTGACAGGGACAACTGTACTCTCAGCTGGAGTGACAGGGACAACTGTACTCTCAGCAGGAGTGACAGTGACAACTGGACAATCAGTTAAAGTGACAGGGACTGGTGGACCATCTTCTGCAGTGACAGATTCAATTGCACCAACATCTGGTAGTACAGAGATACCTGGGCCGCCATCTGGAAAATCAGGAACAACTGGACCGTCCACCAAAGTGACAGGTTCAACTGGACTCTCATCTGGAGTGACTGGTTCAACTGGACCATCAGCTGCTGTGACAGGCACAACTGGGCCATCCACAAGACTTACAGGGAGTGCTGGACCAACATCTGGAGTAACAGAGATATCTGGGCCATCTTCTGGAGGATCAGGGACAACTTTATCATCTGCTGGAGGGACAGGTTCAACTGGACCATCGGCTGGAGTAACTAGTTTATCAGGTAGAGAGACAGGGACAACTGGGCCATCAGCTGGAGTGACAGGGTCAACTATACTCTCAGCTGGAGTGACAATGAAAACTGGACAATCAGTTAAAGTGACAGGGACCAGTGGACCATCTTCTGTAGTGACAGGTTCAATTGTACCACCATCTGGTGGTACAGAGATACCTGGGCCATCATCTGGAAACTCAGGACAACTAGACATCACTGAATCCAGGTTCACCGGACTCTCATCTGAAGTGACAGGTTCAACTGGACCCAGCTGCTGTGACAAGCACACTGACCATCCACTAGATGCAGGGAGTGCAGGACACATCGATGACAGAGATATCTGGGCCATCCTCTGGAGGATCAGGGACCACGTTTCATCTGCTGGAGTGACAAGTTCAACTGGACTATCAAGTAGAGAGACAGGGACAACTGGTCCATCAGTTGGAGTGACAGGGACAACTGTACTCTCAGCTGGAGTGACAGTGACAACTGGACAATCAGTAAAGTGACAAAGACCAGTGGACCATCTTCTGTAGTGATCTGTTCAATGCACCACCATCTGGTATACAGAGATACCTGGGCCATCATCTGGAAACTCAGGAATAACTGGACCATCCACTGAAGTCACAGGTTCAATCAGATACTCATCTGGAGTGACAGGTTCAACTGGACCATCAGCTGCTGTTACAGGTTCAACTGGACCATCAGCTACAGTAACAGCCAACTGACATCCACTGGATTGACAGGGAGTGCAGGACCACCATCTGGAGTGACAGAGATATCTGGGCCATCTTCTGGAGGATCAGGGACCTACTTGTTTCATCGCTGGGTGGACAGGTTCAACTGGACTATCATGGTAGTAACTGGACTATCAGGTAGAGAGACAGGACAACTGGTCATCAGCTGAGTGACAGGGACACTTGTACTTCCTCAAGCTGGAGTGACGTGAACATGACAATCATTGAAAGTTACAGAGACCAGTGGACCCCAATCTTCTGTAGTGACAGGTTCAATTGTACCACCATCTGGTGGTACAGAGATACCTGGGCCATCATCTGGAAACTCAGGAACAACTGGACCATCAACTGAAATCCCAGGTTCAACCGGATTCTCATCTGAAGTGACAGGTTTAACTGGACCATCAGCGGCTGTGACAGGCACAACTGGACCATCCACTAGATTGATAGGAAGTGCTGGACCACCATCTGGAGTGACAGAGATATCTGGGCCATCTTCTGGAGGATCAGGGACAACTTTATCGTCTACTGGAGTGACAGATTCAACTGGACTGTCAGCTGGAGTAACTAGTCTATCAGGTAGAGAGACAAGGACAACTGGGCCATCAGCTGGAGTGACAGGGACAACTGTACTCTCAGCTGGAGTGAAAGGTACAACTGGACAATCAGTTAAAGTTACAGAGACCAGTGGACCATCTTCTGTAGTGACAGGTTCAATTGCACCACCATCTGGTGGTACAAAGATACCTGGGCCATCATCTGGAAACTCAGGAACAACTAGACCATCAACTGAAATCCCAGGTTCAACCGGACTCTCATCTGAAGTGACAGGTTCAACTGGACCATCAGCTGCTGTGACAGGCACAACTGGACCATCCACTAGATTGACAGGGAGTGCTGGACCACCATCTGGAGTGACAGAGATATCTGGGCCGTCTTCTGGAGGATCAGGGACCACTGTTTCATCTGCTGGAGTGACAGGTTCAAATGGACCATCAGCTGAAGTAACTGGACTATCAAGTAGAGTGACAAGGACAACTGGGGCATCAGCTGGAGTGACAGGGACAACTGTACTCTCAGCTGGAGTTACAGTGACAACTGGACAATCAGTTAAAGTGACAGGGACAGGTTCAATTGCACCACCCTCTGGTGGTACAGAGATACCTGGGCCGTCATCTGGAAAATTAGGGACAACTGGACCATCCACTGGACTGACAGGTTCAACTGGACTCTTATCTGGAGTGACAGGTTCAATTGGACCATCCACTAGATTGACAGGGAATACTGGGCCATCTTCTGGAGGACTGGGGACAACTGTATCATCTGCTGGAGTGACAGGTTCAGTTGGACCATCAGGTGGAGTAACAGGTTCAACTAGACTATCAGCTGGAGTGAAAGAGAGAACTAGTTCATCATCTGGAGAATTAGGGACAACTGGACCATCAACCAGCATGACCACTGTGGCAGGAAGAACTACTGGAGAACCAGGAAGTGAATTTACAACACATGAAGGCAAGTCTGATTACCTAAAGATAGACCATTTAATGTGGACAATCTAATGTTATGACAGAGTCCCAGACTTGAATCTGTAGACATTTGTCACAATTAAGTATGGTATTAACTCAAATTGGTGGATAATGATGGGATCCTTTCAGAACATTATTGTTTTAAACGGATTCCTCAGATTTCTTGAGAAGGTTATGTTTTCATCAACTAATACAACTAGAGGGTCAGTGGGGACTAGCATAGGCACAGGCAGGGGTCACACAGCTGGAGCTGGCTCTGGTGGCATCACTGCTGGGAAGCAAGCAGGCAGGGCTCACCTGGGTACTCTGCTGGTGGCCCATAAGCATGGCTGAGACCCAAATTATGAATATAAGATTAAGTAATTTAAGCAAGGACTTAGATTTTGGAAGAAATGATCAAGAGAGGATCTAGATTTATTAACATCTAAATTTGAAATTCACATAAATGACAGTTCATTATTTTTATTAAAATGAACCATGTTAAGATAATAATTATTTCTTTAACCACACACAACTGAACAACCATATGGACCCACCATTGGAGCTGGTGCAAGCCCAACCAGATTAACCACACCTGGAAAATCAGGCATGTGGAAAGGGAAGAATTTGGCCCAGATTGTAGCTCAAATTAAGGTTTTCATATAAATCTAATAATACTAATGACAGTATTGTAAGTAAGAAAATCAGAGAATCAGATCCACATCTAGTTTTTATGACCTTATATTTTGTTCAGTATTTTAGGATTAAGAATAGCAAATTGTTTTTACAATGCTAATTCTATGAAGAGATAAATTTTAAATGAAGAAGTTTAAAACAAAGCAAGAAAAAATATTGAGAAGTTATTGGGCAGCCAGGCACTGCTCTAAGTTATGTGACATGTAATTAATTTTCATAGCAACCGGTGAGATAAGTACTACTTTTGCCCACATTTTCAAATGAAGTCAGGGAGAAGTTTAGTTAGCAGGTGCATATGAAGACTTAAACCAAGGATATCTGGCCCCAGATCCTATTCCTTACCTATTACAGTGTCTTTTCTCCTTTGGCAGTGGTTGGAAACTAGGACAGCAAATATATATATTCCCTGGAAGGGAACTCCCAAAGAAGACTCATATATATCAAATTCAACCACTCAAAGAAAATCAGATTAATATAAAGGCTACCATACCAGAACTTTACGGTAGCACACAGTTTGAAATTTTCTATAATAACAGCTGTGTCCCAATTTTATTAAATTGATTTAAACGTTATAATTTTATTAAATTTTGGTTATTTAATGATTATTATTTGCCATCTGTGCGCCAGGTACTATGACAGGTGTGTGAGTTGAAAGGCGAACAAGTCTGACAAGGTCCCTGCTCTCAGGACATCCTGTCTAGTGGGGGTATTTAGCCAGTCAAAAGAAAAAATACCTAAGTGATATGATTCCAATTATGTTAAGTGCTAAGAAAAAGATGAGGGTGTTAGGAAAGTGACATTCCACCTGCTGTCCCAAAGAATGGAGAGGCACTAGTCAGAGAGTAAGGCAGGGCGGGAAATGGGAAGAGAGCTCTAGGGAGAAGTAACAGAGTCTGGAGAGTTTAAAGTTGAAGGAGGCCACGGTGCCCAGTGCCAGTTAGAAGGCTGGAGAGAGGTAGAAAACAAGCCTAGAGAAGTAGGAAGGTACCTGATCACCAGAGCCTTGAAACCCAAGTTAAGGATTTTAGATTTGTTCTTAAGAGCTAACGGAGGCTACCAAAAGATGTGAGACAGAAGAGTGATGTGATCCATTTCACATTTTCAAAAGACCAGTAAGACTTCAGTGTGAAGAAGGATTATATAAGGTGAGATTGGAGGCAGAGAGATTTGTTAGGAAGTTGTTGCTGAGTCAAGTGAAGAGAATAAACTATGGTGGCAGATGGAAAGAAATGGAAAGATTCAAAACACATTTTGGGGGGAACCATGGAGTGGATTTGGCGATAGTTTGGATGAGGATTTGGTGACAGGGTCATTTTCAAGCTGACAAGTTCAGGTTTTTGGATGATGGTACTACCACTTATTGAAATAGGGAATGTTAAAAGGGCAGCAGTTTGTGGATGTTACAGGTTCAGGTAGGAATAAGTTGAATTTGAGATGTCAGGGAGAAGTCCAAATGAAAATAACCCATTATATGTTGTTAAGATTGTTTTTCATTTGTCTTAAATTCAGCTACAACTGGAGGACCTTCTGCAATTTCCACAGGAGCCAGGGGTGAAAGCACAGTTTTCACATCAGGTACTAGAACTACAGCACCTGGACTCAAAACAGTTATGTTGATTAATATCTGAGTGTTACGGTAAAATAAGAACACTGCTCATGAATTTCCACTTTTTAATTTTAGGTTCCACGGGAGCCATATCTGGCTCAACAATTGCACCAGGAAGTAGCACCACAGGTAAGTAAGCAGGGAGATACCAGATGTATTTTTGACTTGTTTTTATGCCCATTTGCTAATTAAAAATGGACAAATAATAAGAACACCAGTTAAATAATTGCAATGTCCTTGAATACGTTATCTCAATTATTTAAATAAGTATTATTATCTCATTTTGGTCATGAGAAACTTAAGCAAAGACATTACCTAACTGGTCTAGGTTCTACAGCAAGTCAAATAGTGGAAACAATACTTTTATCCACTGTTTACTGACTCCAAAGACTGTGCTTTTTAGTGTGATGTCTTCTTCCTCTGAAGCAAAATATGCAGTGATCTTTCATAACCCATCTGGAAAGCTTGTTTTTTTTTTTTTTTTGCAATGACAAAGGTTAAATATTCTCTATTTCTAATTACAAGAGCTACAGCTGCAGGTAATAAGAAGTTTAAATTTTTATATAATGACAAACTGTGTTATACATTATTCTGAAACAATAAGATTTGGAGCATTTTATTTGGCAAAACTATAATACCATTGTTTCGTAAGTCAAAATTGTATAACTATCTTTCTTTTTATAGTTATTCCAAACTGACAAAATTCACAGATATTTATAGGGCAATTCTTTTTCCTGAAACTAAATAAATGGACTAAATTATGTTTAAGGCTATAGTGCATTATTATTTAAGTTTCTGAACTCGTAATATACTCGGTATCATAGTACTTGAGAAAGACATCATTTCTCAATCTGCAGGTGTCTAACAGAACCTAGGCTTTAGTGACTAAATTGTTCACTATTAGTTTAAGGAATAGATTACTTACACTTTTATTTTTCTGGCAAATATTCTTTCTACATTTATTCTAACTACTGTTATAAAGTCCTCTTATGTAAATTTATTTTACAAACTGGTCACTAGAAAATAATTTAATTTGACAATTTAACTCAAGCTAAATTAACATTTATTTATTCAATATATTAATATTATATAAAGTAAATGAATTGGCATGATTCATCTTATATATTGAACACCAGAATTATAAATTAACAACAAGCCTACACAAAGTGACTATTGGGGCACAGTATGTATTTTATCATTTTTGGCATTCTCTGAGTTCAAGACTTAATCTTTAATTAAATGGAACCAAAGAAGAAATACACGTGTATAAATATTTTACTTGGAAAAAGGCAACGATTTGTTTTTAGTTTGAGAATTTGTAACTCATAGATGATTACTCAGCAGAGCACTTTACAATATTTCTCCCAAGAGTTCTCTCATTTTGATTTGAATTTCTAAGATAAGCTTCTATGGGAGTAATATACTGCTGTTCTTTAACAAAAATCTTATATATCATGCCTTTGAAACATAGCAAATTTAAAAAATAAAATTCAAGTATATTATTTAATCAAAGCGTGAACTTAGTATTTTCTTTAATATGTCCAGTTAAGAGAATTCCATCACAACTCTTTGAAGGTAAATTGAAACTAATATGACATGAAAACATGTTTCTGCACAACGGGGTTTGAAATAGAATTTGTTTTTTCCATCTGTACACTAAAAAATATCTAAGGGACTATGCCATTCTGCTCAAATTATAATCTAATATATAAAATAATCTTTATAAATTGAAATAAATAAGAAATTTACATTTATAAACATTTGTGTTTTTAAATTTAGTGCCACCGAAACAGCCTGAAGTAGCAGGTAAGAAAATGTGATTATAAATGTGCATTTAAAAAACAAAGCCATAAAAAATAAAAAAAAATACATAAAAAATCAGGAGAAAGCACAGCCCCCCAAAACAAGAAAAAAGAAAAAAAAGATGTTACATTAACTAGAATAGAAAACATGACAGCAGAAGTCTTAATTTATCAGATTAATAAAACATGAACTTCAAATTAGACTTTGGTACCATAGTGATTTTGCTTTCTCTGTTCTTATACCTTCTTAAATCATAATAAATGTGTATTGAATCCTTTATGTGATAGTTAAATTCTACACTGGTTGTTTACAAACTCAGTCAAACAAAAATAACTCCCCAAAGATCCCCCTTATTAAAAAAGAAATAGTATCATATGTCTTAGCATATTGGTCTTATTTGTCACTCACTATTTCCATGAAAGTTATTTAGCTTTTATTGCATCTTGATGTCTGTTTTTAAACTTAAGAACAGTTTTTAAAGATAAACAAAAGAAGGTAATTCTTTAGAACACCTCACTTTTTCTTATTTCCTCTTCTGATTCTTTTAGCATTTACATTAGAATATAAGCTCCCTGAAAATAGGCATTTTTGTCTTATTTTTCACTGATATAAAACCTTTTTATGGACCTTTTCTGATGAGGTATTTGATTTCAATACTAATTCGCTGATCCCCTAGACTGTCTTTGTTAAAAGGGGACGGTGCCTTGTGCAGCATGAATGTATCATTCAGGGAGCTTTGCATATGACAAACACTCAATAGATTTGAATTATGTTTGGGTTTCATCCAGTATCTCATTTGAATCCTGTAGGCATTATTTTTCCCTAACTTGCAGGTGAGGAATCCAAGGTTCAAAGATGTTAACCTGTTTAAAACCAGACAAATCTGTTTGATTCCAGACGGACTGTTATTACATTTCTTAGGCTGAATGAGTTAATGCATTCACAGCCATGCTAACCTTTAGTCTGGACTATTGTAGGCAAGTTCCCTCTCTTCCAGTTTTCTCTATTCTCAGATGCATTCTATACAAAGCAGTGGCCAGTGGTCCTCTGTTGACTTATCTCTGTTCATGTTATTTCTATCTTCAGTACACTGCAGGAGCTACCCAATGCCAAATAATTTCTAAATTCTTTTGTCTAATATTTGAGTCCTTTGGAGTTCCAATCTACTTTCCAAACTTACTTCTCATTACCCTTCTTCACATACCAATGTTTAGCCTCACCAAATTGCCTGTCTGCACTGTTATAAAGTTCCTTTACAAAGTCTTACAAGCTAGTCACTAGGAAGTTATTTTCTCACTTAATTCAAGCTAAATTTATAGTTATTTTTTCCACTCCATCTATGTTTATGCAACATATGTTGCTGTGTTTCTCTAAACCCTTGGCTCTCCCTGTGTCTTCTGCCTGCTGTGCCCTTCCTGGATTTCAAACAGACAAGTCCTACCAATGGTAAAGCCCCAGATCTGTCTCTTCCAGGGAGCCTTTCTTGATCCCACTAACCGGAAGTAATGCCCAGTAGTGTCCCATTGTCCCAGGTACTCAGCACATGTAAACCATCTTTTGTACCAGAGAGCTAAGGCACAATGACAGTAAACTAGGTAAATATGAGAGAGAGAAAATTACCTTTCATCTTAGGGAATGCCAGGTCAGGATGTTTCAAGTGGAGAACATTGCCAATCTTTGCTTTGAGAATGGATCAATCCAAGGGGAGAAACTCACAAAATTATGGATCTGCCAGGTCCCAGAAAAGGATACTTGTTATAGTTAAGGAACATCCATATGGCATCTAGCTGCAGGTCTTCCCGTGCAGAATGAGTCACCCTGGTGACCCTGGCCTGTCTGTGTTTCAGGTACCACTAGGGCCACGACTGGCACAACTTCTACCCCTACAAGTTCCAACACAGGTAAGAACATGATGAGTGGAATTTTCCCATGGGGACTTCTTTTCAGGAGATATTTCCTCAGGTTTTATTTCTAGGCAAGATTATCACTATAATAATTCATAATCCTTGATGTTTTTCTAATCACACTTTTCTTCTTTTCCTCTGTCTCAGAGGCCACAGCTTCCCTGGGAGGAAGTGAAATCCCTGCAGGTGGGACAGTCCCCGCTGAACCTGTGAAGCCATAGCACTTTTTGATCATCTCCCAATAGACAGTGTTGCCTGAAATGTAGCCCCACTGTTTTATTCTCCCAGGTTAAACAGTTTTTAAAATGAAAAAGAGCTACAATTATAGATGACAAATGACAAGATTTAGTAGCCTGAAACTTATTTCTACCTCAAGGAGCTCCATTTTGAGTACCAGGGAGTCAAGTCACTGGCCAGTGAGATACGTATGTTTCCTGGCACTGAACCTCAAAGAAAGATACTCAAGGGTCTAGAATTGTGTCAGGAAATTTGCTATGGAAAAGAAATGCTACTTAGGACACATGCAGATTCAGTCTTGACATTAGAAAGCTACAAGAAGACACTTGTAATGTATTTAAGAAATGCAGAGTTGTTTTAATAGGCAAGTCCCAAGTCATGGCACATTGACCACCATTTCTTTCTTATTTCAGGAACTTCTGGTGGTGTCTCAGGCAAAACTCTCCAACCCGGAAGTTATACCACAGGTAAGTTGCCACACACTAGGAAATCCTGAAGGGGACCACTGAGGTAATCTGTAGCTCCAGCATTTTCTTACTTCACTGCTTTCATTCTTTTCCCTCTCAGAGGCCACAACTGCTACAGGGAGCACCGGAGCAGGACTGTCAGGAGGTGAGTGTTGCTCATCCCGAGACTTTGGGTTCTTTTGGTTCATTATTTGGGATTGCAGCAAAGAACAGAAGAATATGAGAGATGAGGACACAACACATAAGGCAAAGCCAAATTATTAATCCCACTGGAATTGTGTGTATCCAGGCCCCTCAGCCAAGTGTTCCTGAATCCTGGCTTCCAGAGTTAGTTCTCTGAAGACAGGGATGAAAGTGTCACCTCTTTGAATTTCACAATATTTCTTTTTATAGCTACCACCATTATCTCTCCTGAAGTCAGTAGCAGTTCAGGATCATCCAAGACAGGTAACATGACATAAATAAAACAGCTTATGCTGTTCTTACTTCCATATGTGTGTATTGTGGATGTTGTATGTATGTGAACATGTATGCTTTAAGGATTTCATAAAAACAACCACGAAAATATCCCAGGAATATTTAGAAAGAACTTTATCTTCCATTTTCCTCCCTCTGTAGTCATTCCTGGCACACCAGGGAGACATATAACAAGAAATGAAACAGGCATGAAATGTGCCCCCATCCCTCTGCGATGTTGGGTGTTCATTTGCAAGGCACCATGAATAAATGGGCCAAGGAGATGATGTGAGAGGAGGACACTCATGATTTATCATTTGGAACATTAAGTCCTCAGGAAAGGTCATACATTGGTGTAGGACCATTCACTGCCAGCTTCCATGAAAGAACTAAGACATTACTAAGTTTCCTTCTTCTTCTTTTAGATATGTATGTCTGGAGTAGGCTCTGAGACATCCATTTAAACAGAAATTTCCTACATAGGTAGAATTGAAAGAAAACCATCTCTAAGAGGAAATGATTATTTTTTTTGTAGGAGTGTTCTTATAAAATAACACAAAATACTCCTTCCCAGTACCCCAACAGTCCAGAACTTAAGGTTAATTACCTCTTCCCTCAGAGGCCACGACTCCCACAGAAGGTGTTGGCACCACTGGAGTTGCATTCAGGCTAGGTGAGAAGGAGCAACTCATGTCTTTGTCGTTATCACTAATTATGGTTCGCATAGCAGAGGCTATAGAGAGGAAGTTTCTGGAAAGTAGTTTGCATTTACTAAAAATGCATTTTTGGCCAACTATTTCTTTTTCAGTTTAGTCCTGAAAAGCTGCTAATTACTGAGTGCAGAATCATACCTATAACCGCTGAAGATAGAAAACTTTGTTTTCTATCTAAATTGTTTCAAGTATTCTGCTGTGAAATTACAAACATCATGAGCTTTTGAAAGGAGATGGGTGATAAAACGTCCTGAGAAATAGAGAGAAGCTGTGAGAACCCAGGAAACATACCTGCCCTGCATAAATGTTTTCTTATTGCAAAGGAAGAGCTAAATATTTTCACATTGTCTAGAATTCTCAGCACATTCATATGTTTCTCTGCGACCACTCCACAGCAGGTACCACTCTGGCATCAGAGGACCAAGTCACAGGGAGGAAAACAGGTGACTATGGGAGAAACTCACCCCATCTCCCTGACAGAGATAGCCAGGAAGATTATCTCAGGTTGAGAACATTGTCTCTCTAATTGCCTTGGCAATAAAATGGTTAATGAGAAACTATAGAGGCCTTGTTATCAAGGAGGAACTAAAGACGAGCCAGTGAGATATAAGATGGGCGTAGAGTCTCTCTAGAGACAGGTCTTAGGGAAGAAAGGTTGAACACCACCATGATCCCAGTCTTATTTGTTTTTCAGTCACCACTGGGACAGCTCCTGGCACAACTGTTGCTGCTGGCATGTCCAGTACAGGTGAGTCCTCAGATTGGCTGGGAAGACTTCAGGGGTCCTCCCACAATTAGATGTCTCCTCTGGTGTTATTCTTTATAAGAATAATATCCTATTTTTTCATAGCTCTTAAATATTTTCCAAATATCCCTTTCCCCATTTTCTCTCTCTCAGAGGCCACAACTTCCACTGTAGGAAGTGAAACAAGAAGTGGAATAGCCACAGGTAAGCATTGCTGGATTAGTGCATTCACCTGTTACTAATACTCTATAAAGGTTGTGCCTTGAAATGTATCCATGACACCCCTGTCTCCCATATTAGAGAACATTTTACCATTATTCATTAACTAAAGTCTAGAAACTCAGATTTCATTCTTATTCCCCGTGCTTTGAACAAACTGTCCTCCCACTCTGCAAGGCAAGCTTGCAGTCATTAGACTGACAGTTCCATAGACATCTAGAGAGAGCGCTCCTATCTCCCTGTTCTTAAACTGTAAAGAAGGTCCAAATAAGTAAAAATATCTTTGGTAAATGTTTTGTTGGTAGGATATTATAGCAGAAGTATACAGATTAGCTTCGGGGATTAAAAGCCCAGTTTACTAAAAAATGAAATAGATAGATTTTGTCCATTTGTTTGCTAGCTATCATTTGCCCACTTCATGATGATCAGCTATTGACCCATGACTACCCATCCCTTTTTTTTAATAGACACCACTGGGGTACTCTCTGGAAGGACTACAGGATTTGGGAATGACAAGACAGGTACGTCTAAAAGCACACAGGGAACGCTGGCCAATGGCTGCATAGGAGTTAAGTCCCTAAGCTACCGCAACCCCGTGCTTCCCCATGTTCCAGACTCATGCTTGCTTGCTTTTTTCTCAGAAGCCACCAGTTCCACAAGAGTTGGTGGGACCACCCCATCAGAAGCACCAGGAGATGAGCTTTGTCAGCTTAAGGCTTTGGGATTCTAATCTTTTCCCTGTTTTTTTTTTTTTTCTTTTTATTTGTTTGTCTTGTGCTTCAGTGAACAAATAAATGAGAATGAGGGCCAAGGAAAGAGGGTCACTTCCAGTCTGGCAGGGACATGTGTGTCTACTCAACCTGGGTAGTTCTGCCTAAAAATTGCAGACACTGGTTATCTATGTGAGTCTTTCCTCTACGTCCTGTGTGACAGTGTCGGCTCCCTCGACACCTGTCTGAGGACCACAGCCCTGCAGTATCCTTCCCTGGATGCCCAATTCACTCAGCTCTGCTCATCATGATTCTCCAAAGTACTATCCCCTCCTAACAACCACCTTACGTGTTTAGAAATTCATTGAGATGACAAAATGTCTTCTTACCAACAGAAGACTGTCAGGCACAGAGGAAATGCTTACAAAATACAAAATGAGTGAGAGCAGTATTCTTTTGTAGACTTTCACTCTGCTTACTTGAACAGCGACCACCATGGTTTCACCTGGACTCAGCAGAAGTTTACAGATAGGATGGTCAACTTAAAATCACCAGGGGAAGCAATAAATATCTGATATGTTAATGTCATAATCAAGTATTTATGATAATTACCTGTTACAAAAGTGAGAATATTTTAAAAGATCAGGGCAATTTTTATTATACTGGGACATCAGGGAGCCAAATCACTGGACATGAAATAGGTAAAGTGAAATTAAACTTCCTTCCATTTTTAAAGAGGCTACAGTGGCAGGAGCAGTAGAAAGTAGCAAAACCTTTGGGGGGGAAAATCATCATTGATTTTTTTCTTCTGAAACCTAAGCTCTCAGCAATGGTCTCCAGTGGTTCAGGACCACATTGCTGCTTCCAGTATTGTTTGCTCTATTGGCTCCTTTACTTTTCTCATTTAGGTACTTCTGGAACATTCTCTGGGACAACCACTACATCTGGAGTTTCCAACACAGGTAGTTGAGCAAGAAGAGACTCCTCATTTTAGATGCATGATAACTTCACAGAGCTGTAATGATAATATGGCACCTCGATATTTTGTGCTTGTGTCTCAACGTCCCCAGACCTCATGATTCCTCTCTTCCTGCAGAGACCACGGGTTCCACAGAAGGCAGGGGCAGGACTGGGAGTGAATCCAGAACAGGTGAGGATGAGCAGCCCATGATTTGGTTGTTGCCGCAAATAAAGGCTCTCATTGCAAGGCCTTGTTTGTAAGTGGGTTTCCCTGCAGAAAAATTTTTTTAGGGACAGTGCATCTAAGGCTAAATGTATTTTCCTTTAGATCTAACACTACAAATTTATCAATAGCCTCTGTGAAATGGGATGTCGCGTGTATTCTGAGAAATTTCTCCTGGAAGGTTATATACAAACATATCCAGGTTATAAGGAATTAAAGACAGTTGTGAACCTGAGAAGTATAGATAACACAAATGAGCCTCAGACACATACCATCATAGAGGTTTCATGTTCTCAAAGTGATACAAATACTTAGTATTTTCTTGATGGCTAAATATCCCATCAAGATTAATTTTTCATCTTGTATCTCTGGCAGGAAAAAACAGGTGAGTAGGAGTGAAAACCACCTGTCTCCCTCTGAGGGAATGCCAGGAATACTGCCTATGTGGAGGAATTGGTCACACTCTTTGCTTTGTTATCAAAATGGTTAATAAGAAAACAAACATACGCCCCTTTCCTCCTCCTCCCTCCCGCCTGCCCACCACCTGATAAAAAGTTTTTTTTTTTTAAGTTTTGTTTTGTTTTGTTTTTTTGACATTTTGGTTACATTGTATGTTTCCATAACATGTGTGATGCACACCACCGGGGGATTGGACACATCGGGGAGGGGGAGGCAGGGGCAATATTTGTAACCCTAACAATATTTGTACCTCCATAATATGATGAAATAAAATAAAAAAAAATAAGAAAACAGGTCCCATTATTAGGGAAGAGCAAGGGAAAAAGCTATTTAGATATGGCAAAAATAGGCTTAGATTCTTTCTAGAGGCAGGCCTCTAGGAAAGGGGAAAATAGAACACCATGGTGAGCTAAGTCCTCTTTGTGTTTCAGCCACCACTGGGACAGCTTCTGGCACAAGTGTTGCCCCTGGCAGTTCCAACACAGGTGAGTCCACAGGTTGGCTGGGAAGACTTCAGGGCTGCTTCGATAATTAGATATCTTTTCTGGTCTTATTATATGAGTAATATCATATTCTTCTCATGGCCCTTGAATATTTTCCAAAAATGTCTTTCCTGTTTTTCTCTCTCAGAGGCCACAACTTTCATAGGAGGAAGCGGAACAACAAGGGGTGGAATAGCCTCAGGTGAGCACTGCTGGGTCATCATATTCACTTTCTAATAATACCTAATAACGGTGGTGGCTTGATATCTATTCATGTCATTCTTGTCTCCTGTATCAAACGTTGTTAGGTAAAGTAGTATAATTCATTGACTAAAGTTCAGTAACTCAATGTCATTCTTATTCTCTGAGCAAATGCTTCTCCCAACCCACAAGGCAATTATACACCATTTGATGGACACTTATATAGATGATCTATAGAGAGAGCTCCTGTCTCCCTGTTCCTGAACTCTAGAGAAAAGGAGCCCCAATAAGGAAAAACAATTTGGGGAAATATACCATTGGAGGGATTCTATGGGAGGAGTATATAGATTACCTTTTGGGATTAAAAGCCCACTTTATTTGATCTTGAATAAATATATAGATTTTGTCCATTTATTTGCTTATTACCCTTTGTCCACTTCATGATGACCATGGCTACCCCTCACTTTCTTACTAGCTACCTCTAGATTAGGCTCTGGAAAGACTCAGGAACCTGAGACGTACAACACAGGTAAGATGAAAGCACACAGGGCATTCCACACAACCATTCCTCAGGTGATAGGTTTCTTAGGTAACATGACCCTATATTTCCTCACATTCCAACTCATTCTTGCTTTCTTTTCTCTCAGAGGCCACAAGTTCCACAGGAGACAACAGGACCACCCCATCAGAAGCTCCAGGAGGTGAGCTTTGTCTGCTTGAGGTTTCAGAGTTTTCATCCTTTCCCAGTTTTGCTGTGCTGAGGGGAACAAATAAATGAGTATGAAGGACAAGAAAAGGGGGTTACTTCTAGTCTGGAAGGATGGTGTATATGTCTGACCAACCTAGGTAGTTCTGCCCAACAAGTTCAGACACTGCTTATCTATATGAGGCTTTTGTCCACATCTTCTGTGACAGTGTCAGGTCACTGGACACCTGTCTTAGGCCCAAGCCTTGCAGTATCCACCGAGGAACCCCATGCTCTCAGCTGTGCTCAACAGGATTCTCCAAAGTACCATCACCTTCTAACAACTACCTAAAATATTTATAATACTTTCTTTATTTTTTGTGTTTCCTCTCCCAAAAATGCACGAGGCACAAAACCTTGTCTATTCTTCTTTCTGAAAGAAGAATGTCATGCACAGAGGGGGTGCTTACAAACCATAAGATGAGTGATAGGTATATTCTTATGTAGAGTGTCACTCTGTTTGTTTCAGCAGTTACCACCAAGTTTTTACTTGGTCTCAGTAGTAGTTCAGAGTGTTAATCCAGGTAGGATGGGCTACCTAAAATCAGCAGGGGAGGCTATAGATATGGCATGTGTGTATTGTAAACACTTGATGACAGTTACACCAGTTAAACAAATGAGATAAGTTAAAATTATCAAGCCTTTGTCTCCTGTCTTGGTATACCAGGAAATGAACTCACCGGATATGAAACATGTAAAATGAAATTAAGCTTTCTTCTTTTTTAAATTAGGTACAGTAGAAGAAAGTCAATACCAAAACCTTAGTAATTGGCAAAAGAAAAGAAAAATTATGGTTCATTTTATCCAGAAACTGAAGTTCCCAGGAAAGATGTTCCCATGGTTCAGGATGACATTACAGTTCCAGTTTTGTTTGTCCCATTAACTCCTTCACTGTTCTCATTTTAGGTACTCCTGGTGAATTCTCCACAACAACCATTATATCTGGACATTCCAACACAGGTAGTTAAACAAGACAGAGCTCCTCATCCTCACTGCACAGTAACTTTGTAGAGCTGCAATGATGAGAAAGTACCTATTTTTTTTTTTACCAGTATCTCAGATTCCCCAGCCCTCATGAGTCCTCTCTTCCCTCAGGGGCCACAGGTTCCACAGAAGGCAGGGGCAGTACTGGAAGTGAATCCAGAACAGGTGAGGATGAACAGCCCATGATTTGGTTGTTGAAATAATGACTCTCATTACAAGGCCTTGTTTGTAAGTGGGGTTTCCTGCAGAATAATACACTTTTTCTAAGGGACAGTGCATCTAAGGCCAAATATATTTTCCAGTAGACCTAATATTTTCCTAAAACTTTATCAATAACATCTTGTGAAATTGGTTGTCTCTTGTATTTTTTCTGAGAAATTTCTCCTAGAAGGTTACATAGAAATATGACAAAACAATTTTGACCCAGGGAAGTATAGACAATTTATGTGAACTTGGAAACATGCCTCCATAGAAGTTTTCATTTTCCAAGGCAATATAAATGTTTAATATTTTCTTGATGTCTAAATATCTTAGCAAACTTAATTTTTTATCTTCCACTTCCTGGCAGTACAACAGGTAAGTATGGGAGAAACTCATCTATCTCCTTCTCATGGAATGCCGAAAGTATTGCATCAAGTTAAAGAATTGGGCCCTCTCATTGCTTTTGTAATTAATGGATCATGAAAAAATAGAGCACATCATCGCAGAACAGCCAGGGAAAGAGATATTTAGATAGAATGGAGATAGACTTAGGTTTTTCTAGAAGCAGGTCTTCAAGAAAGAAAGGTGAGCACCATATTAACCACCATCCTCTTTGTGTTTCAGCCACCAGTGGGGCAGCTCCTGGCACAACTGCTGCCCCTGGCAGTTATAATACAGGTGAGTCTGCAGGTTGGCAGGAAACCTTTTAAGGGTCCTTGAATAATTAGGTGTCTTCTCTCTTGCTATTCTTTCCAGGAGTAGTGTCATGTTCTTTCCATGGCCTTTGAATATTTTCCAAATATGACTTGGCTCTTTTTTTTCTTCCCCAGAGGCCACAACTTCCCTCAGAGGAAGTGGAACAGTCACAGGTGAGCACTGCTGGGTCATTGCATTCACTTTCTAATAATACCCAACAAAGGTTGTTTTGAAATGTAGTATCCATTCCACTCTTGTCTCCCATATTAAATATTGGCATGTAATCTATTATCCTATGTTGACTATTGTTCAGAAACTCAAATTTCATATTTTCTCTACCTTGAACAGACTGTCCTCCCAGCCCACAAGGCAATCATACACCCATTTGACTGACAGTTACATAGACATCTAGAGAGAGAGCTCCTGTCTCTCTGTTCCTGAACTCTAGAGAAAAGGAGGCCCAATAAAAAAATAGAAATACCTTTGGTAAATTTACTGTTAGAATATTATAGGAGAAGTATACAAATTACTTTTTGGGATTAAAAGCTCAATTTACTGAAATATTGAATAAATACACACTTTTTCCATTTATTTTCTCTTTACTCTTTCCCCACTTTATGATGACCATGTATTGATCCATGACTACCTGTCCTTTTCTTAATGGCTACCTCAGGGCCAGGCTCTGGAAAGACTCTTGAACCTGAAAATTACAAGACAGGTACGTTTGAAGCACACAGGGAATGGCATACAAGGCTCCTCAGGTGACAGATCCCTAGGGTAACATGACCCTGTACTTCCTCACATTCCAGACTCATTCTTGCTTTCTTTTCTCTCAGAGGCCACAGGTTCCACAGGAGGTGACAGAACCACCCCATCAGAAGCTCCAGGAGGTGAGATTTGTCAGCTTGAGGCTTCAAACTTCTCATCTTTTCCTAGTGTTGCTGTGCTGAAGTGAATAAGTAAATGAGAATGAGGGCCAAGGAAAGGGGTTTTTTCCTAGCCAGGAAAGACAATGTATATGCCTGCCCAACCTGAGTAGTTCTGTCCAAGAATTTCAGGCACTGGTGTCTATGTCTGGCTTTCATCCACATCCTGGGTGACAGTGTCAGTTCTCTGGACACCTGTCTTAGGCCCAATGCCCTGCAGCATCTACTCAAGACCCCAGATGCTCTCAGCTGTGCTCAACACAATTCCCCAAAGTATTATCATCTCCTAACAAAAGTATTAATTTTTTTTATTTTTCTGTTTCCTCTCCCACATATACACAAGGTAGAGAACTTTGTCTATGATTCTTAATGACAAAAGAAGCACAGAGGGGGTGCTTACAAACCATAAGATGAGTGGCAGGTATATTTTTACGTAGATTGTTACTCTATTTATTTCAACAGTTACCACCAAGTTTTTACTTCGTATCAGTAGTAGTTCGGAGAGTCTCAAGCCAGTTAGAATGGCCTATGTAAAATCAGAAGGGGAGGCTATTATAGATGTGACATGTGTGTATTGTAAATAGTTGTTGATAATATTAGCAGTTACACAAATGAGAACATTTGAAATGATCAAGACTTATTCTCTTAACCTGGAATACTCCCTAGATATGAAATAGGTAAAGTCAAATTAAGCTTCCTTCCTCTTTTAATTGGCTTCAGTAGAAGGAATATTCAGTAGCATAGCCTTTGTCAAGAAATTGGAAAAAAATAGTTCATGCTTGACTTTCTTCTGAAACTAAATTCTCAACAATGGTCTCCAGTGGTTCAGGACCACGTTGCTGCTTTCAGTATTGTTTGCTCTATTAGCTCCTTTACTTTTCTCATTTAGGTACTTCTGGAACATTCTCTGAGACAACCACTATATCTGGAGTTTCAAAAGCAGGTATTTGAATAAGAGGGAACTCCTTATCTTGAACCTGTGATAATTTTATAGAGCATCAGTGACAGAATAGCACTTCAATATTTATTAATGGCCCCTCAGCATCCTCAGACCTCATGATTCTTCTCTTCCCTCAGAGGCCACGGATTCCACAGAAGGCAGGGGCAGTACCAGGAGTGAATCCAGAACAGGTGAGGATGAGGAGCCCACGATTTGGTTGTTGCTATAAATAATGACTGTCGTTACATGGCTTGTTTGTAAGTGTGTCATCCTCAAGAACAACGTGCATTTATTTGGGGACAGTGCATCTAAGGCGTATACATTTTTCTTTTTTCCTAAAATCTTACCAATAGTCTCTTGAAAATGGGATATCTTTTGTATTTCTCTGAGAAATTTCGCCTGGAAGCTTACATACAAACATATCCAGGGTACTATTAAGAGCTTAAAATAGTTATGATCCAGGGAAGTATAGAAAATCTATATGAGCTTAGAAACATGCCTTAATAGAGGTTTCGTGTCCCCAAAGCAATAAAAATGTTTAGTATTTTCTTAATGTCTAAAAATGCCATCAAACTTAATTTTTTATCTTGTGTCTCTGGCAGGAAAAACAGGCCTGTCTCCTTTTCAGGGAATACCAGGAATATTGCCTAGATGGACTAATGTTTCTCTATTTGCTTTGAAAACAAAATGGTTAATAAGAATATACACAGATCCTATCAGTAGGAAATAGCCAGGGAAAGCTATTTGGGGATAGTGAGAATAGGTTCTGATTCCTTCTAGAGGCAGGTCTTTAGGAAAGGGAAAAATGGAACACCGTGGTAGTCTCAGTCCTCTTTGTGTTTCAGCCACCACTGGGGAGGCTCCTGGCACCAGTGTTGCCCCTGGAAGTTCCAAAACAGGTAAGTCCATGGTGGTCTTGGAAGACTTTAAGGTTCCTGTGATAATTAGATGTCTCCTGTGGTGTTATTCTGTAAATGAGTAATATCATCTTTTGTTCATAGCCCTTGAATATGTTCCAAACATGTCTTTCCTAATTTTCTCTCCTAGAGGCTACAACGTCCCTAGGAGTAAGGGGAACCACAAGAGGTGGAATAGCCTCAGGTGAGTGCCGCTAGGTCATCAAATTCACTTTCTAATAATACTCAGTAAAGGTGGTGGCTTCAAATGTAGGCATGCCACTGTTTTCTCCCATATTAGAGGAAATTTTTACTATTATTCATTGAAGAATATTCAGAAATTCAAATTTCATTTTTATTCCCCTGTACTTTGAGCAGACAACCCTCCCACCACCCAAAGCTATCATGCAGCTGTTTGGCAGTTATATAAATGGTCGAGACAGGTAGCTCCTGTCTCCCTTTTCCTGAACTTCAGAAAAACATAGGCCTAAAAAGTAACAAAAATACTGTTGGCATTTTTACTGTTGGAGGGATATTATGGGAGGGGTATACAGATTACCTTTTGGGATTAAAAGCCCAAGTTACAGAAAAAAAGAATGAATATACATTTTTTCCCATTTAATTTTTGTTACCTTTTTCCTACTTTATGATGACCATGCATTGACCGGTGACGACTCCTCCCTTTCTCAATAGCTACCTCTGGGCCAGTCCCTGGAAAGACTCTGGAGCCTGGAAATGACAACACAGGTGAGTTGAAAGCACACAGGGAATGCCACACAGGCTCCTCAGGTGACAGATCTTTAATATAACATAACACTCTACTTCCCAATATTCCAGACTAATCCTGGCTTTCTTTTCTCTTAGAGGCCACAAGTTCCATAGAAGGGGGCAGGACCACTGGATCAAGAGCTCCAGGAGGTGAGCTTTGTCAGCTTGAGGCTCTGGATTTCCTTTCCTGTTATTTTTTTTTAATACTGTAATAAACAAGTAAATGAGAATAAGGACCAAGGAAAGAGAGTTAGTTCCAATCTGGAATGACAACATGTGTGCCTGCCCAACCTGTGTAGTTCTAAAGAATTTCAGAAATGGTTGTGGACATCATGCATTTCTTCATGTCCTGTGTGACAGTGTTAGTCTCTTCACACCTGTTTGAGGCCAACAACCTGCAGTAACTTCCCCAAGACCCCCTGTTCCCTCAGCTCTCCTCAGCATGATTCTCCAAAGTTCTACCACCTCTTAACAACTACATAACATACTTATACTACTACTTGTTTATTTTGTGTTCCCTCTCCCACAAATGCAAATTTCACCAGGCAGAAAACTTTGTTCTTCTCACTGACAGAAGAATGTTAGGCACAGAGGAAATGCTAAAATGTCTAAGATGAGTGACAGCGATATTCTTATGTAGAGTGTCACTGTATTTACTTCAGTAACTACCACCATGCTTTCACTTGGTGTCAGCATCGATTTGTGAGGTCCCAAGCCAGTTATGATGGGCTACCTAAAATCACCAGTGGAAGCCATAGATACCTGACATGTGTGTATTGTGAACACTTGATTGTGACTCTATGACCAGTTACACAAATGAGATCAGTTCAAAAGTTCTAGACATTTTCTTCTTTCCTGGAATACCAGGGAACCAACTCATTGGACATGAAATAGATTAAAGTGAAATTAGGCTTCCTTCTCTTTTCTAATAGGCTATAGTTGAAGAAATGGACAGTAGCAAAATCTTAGTCGATAAGTTGGCCAAAAAAAACAAAAAACAAAAAACAATTTCATGGTTCATTTTATCTAGAAACGGAAGTTCTCAGGAAAGGTGTTTCCACCACTCAGGATGATATCACTGTTTCCAGTATTGGTTATCCCATTAACTGCTTTGCTTTTCTCATTTTAGGTACTCCTGGTGAATTCTCCACAACAACCATCATATTTGGAGTTTCCAACACAGGTAGTTAAACAAGAAAAAGTTAATCATCCTAACTGCACAATAACTTTGTAGAGCTGCAGTGATGAGAAAGAAAGCACCTGACTACTTTTTAACAGCATCTCAGATTCCCCAGCCCTTATGATTCCTCTCTTCCCTCAGAGGCCACAGGTTCCACAAAAGGAAGCTCCAGTACTGGGAGTGAATCACGAACAGGTGAGGCTTAGCAGCCCATGATTTGGCTGTTGCCATGAATAACAACTCTCATTACATAACCTTTCAAAGTGGGGTTTCCTGCAGAATAAAGTACCTTTTGTAAGGGACAGTGTACCTAA